AAAGCCAGACTGCCATTAGTCATGTACTACACTGACTGAAAGTGACTTACTGTATAGTATCTGGCTGGAGAAAGAAGAGGAAATATGTCTTGGAGATGAAATTGAATCTTCCAAGATTAGGTTTCAAAATTGGGCTTCCAAAATCTATTCTCAGAGATATAAGACTTGAAACAAAAAGGGTTACTGTTTTTAATCATTTTCTTTTTCTAGAGTTGTTAGGAGTGATGAATTCCTTTCTTATTTAAAACACCGTAATAACAGGTTACTAAAATAAAAAATCTATGTAACAAATTGATTATACTTCGTTGGTTTAATTCCAAGCTCTGAGTGAACACTAAAACACTAGAATCTCTTAGATGAATTTTGAAAACATCTTTTTAAATATAATAATTCAATTTGATAAGCTATCTTTAACAATATTTTTGACATATTGCAAAGCTGGATAGATTTTCAGTGTCAAGTGTGGGGAAAAGGGAACTGGTTTCTGATTAAAGTATAAAAGAAGGGTAATGGTAATATGTTTTCTGAATCTATTTAAAGAAGGTTTTTGTAAACCTTTTTACCAAAAACTGAACAAATATGTGCTTTAAATGCTGTCTGCCTCATCAAGCTTAGCTTGCGAGCTAGTTTGACATTAGCATTAGTGTTGCTAAATTAGTTTAAGCTGGATATGTTTGTAAAACTGCAAAATCTTTCCCAACCAATAGATCTTATAAAATGTATAGCTTGATTTATTCATTCATACTGAAATTAATGCTGGTCACAGCACACCACAAAAATGAAAGTAAAAGTTAAATAATAGTACTTCTTCAGTTAAATTCTAATCAAAGTGATTAAATATGATACTTTACCAAAATAAAATCACTATAATTTAGTTTTTTTTTTTTTTTTTTTTTTTATGGAGCTTTATATTTCCAAATAGGTTTATTGAAAATCTTACATTTTTTTTGCTTATATTCAGTTCTGTACAAAGTTCCTTTTTATTGCTTCAGTCCATGTCACTCAAACTGCGATACAGAATCATTGAGGGCACTTGCTTTTTTAGGTAAAATGTTGTGGTAAATAATTTCTGAGAAAAATACAAATAAATCCAACTTGATGGAAATTGATTACAGTTAGTATTTAGCTGTGATGCTGCTGTTGGTACAGTTTTCGTGGAGGATTTTGAATTAGGGAGGCAAAAAAAACTAAATTAAGTATTTTAAATGTTTTTGCTCAAGTGCACATTAGGAAAACAAGGTAATAGGTATGTATTGGATTTTAAAGTTGGACATTTTTTTGAGAAACTTCCAACTTTCCCAGCTGAAATACACATTTTCTGGGGACCCAACCTCTATTAATGAATGCTAACTTCACATTCATAAACATATGTTTAGAGCTAAAATGGGGCACTCAATTATACTTTGAGGAGGTATTTTTTTGTTTCCGTTTTACATTAAATAGCACAAAAAAATGAAAAAAAAATTTTTGTGTTTTAAAATATGCCCTGATAATGGAAAATAATAGTATTTACACAGGTGTTTGAGAACCTTTTGCTCAACATTTAAGAAGACAAACATACTTAACAATATGCCTGTTTAGCTTTTAACAGTTAAAGGAATAAATCTAACAGTAGAAAAAAAATCGTACACATACATTTTTGTTTTGATATTAAAGAAAAATGTTATTTAACATTTACTTTGCTCACTTACACACATTTTTGCAATTTTCCCCATAGCAAAACCTTTTTTTTTGTTTTTTACAATAATTTTTTTAACCCTAACCCTTCCCAAATATCAGTACAGGTATCAGAGAAAGCTGGGTAAAATTTCTTATTGTTCTAATACAACATTTTTCTACATTAGTTCTGTCATTCATTAAATGAACTAAACTTAAAAAAAAAAAAACTGACATCAAATGAAGGTTCAGGCATAGAGCTGACCCCCATACATCTGTCTGTCTTCATCTCCCAGCTCTGAGCCTTTTCCTGAACTGTCACACAGCCGCCTGCCGCCTGTCCCCATGTTCACCCTCTGTTGAGGATCTGATCCAGCACCAATATGCAATTTTACCAATCTGTACTGACAGCACTCATGTCGACTGCTCACAACCGTTCCCCGGCATCTTTTCCCCTTCAGCTTCCCTGTGCGGTTAGAACTGCATATTCCGTCAAAGAACTTTCACAGGTTATAAAAGGTAAGAGAGGAGACAGGCGGAACTACAGGCCTTGCATCCCGGCTAGACAAATCAACGTAACAGCATATTGTAATCTACCATGTTTCAACCAGGGCTGAGGCTGTGTTTATGGCTATGCCTGCATTGGGAAGCCCCACGGGGCTATCATTGACCCCCTCCCACTGAAGATTTCCTTACTAATTTGACCCCAGATTCAGTATCACAATCGGCATAAGAGAACTCCCAAAGGCTACAGTTAGTCCCAGGCAGTAGGGATCGTTGTCCTCAGCCCGCCTGAGCACAGACAGGATGTGGCAGCTCGGAGGCATTCAGTTAAAGAAGATGCACTTTAATGCTGCAGGCATGCATTTAAGGAAGCCTTACAAGAGTAAAAGTGTGACGTGCTACAGTCTATAAACAGACATGAAAAAAGACTTGGATGAGAGAAAAAAAAAAGAGAATTAGCCTCACCTTTTTTTTTTCGCAGCATCTAATCTTTTATGATGGTATGTGTACTTATTTCTATAATTACTTTGTTTTCTAGGGCAGCATTTTCTCAACAAATTGGGTTTAAAAATATCATCTGTTGTGCTGCATTAAAAAGATGAGACAAAAAAAAAACAACATGGATGAAATGTTAAACCTCAGTTCATATCTCTGAGATGTAAATTTTAGTTGATGTAGTTTGCATGAGCATCTGCTATCAAAGGGTTTTTGTGCTAAAGAATCCAAAAATTATTTTTTATACTCTACCCAAGCTGTTTAATATCATAATGGTCTGTAGTGAGTATTAGTTTTACAGGTGGAATTCAAAGTGAAAACAAATAACTACCGACTCACTGCAAAGAATTGGCAAGCAGATTTGCTGTCAAATATGATGCTAAACAATTGTCACAAACAAACACAACAGGATTTCCATTATTTTCTAAATTCCCTTAAGCCTTTTTTTCTTTTTTTTTTTTTCTTTTTTTTTTTTACATTTGTTGTGTTACAACTTTAAACTGAAATGTAAATGGGTTTAGTGGGCACTTAATTTCAGATACATACATTCTGTCAACTAGTCTGAAATCTGCAAAGAATCCATCATTGTAATAGATTAGGGACATTATTAGTTGTCATGCAAATAAAATTGACTGCCTAAGCTGTGAGTCTGCTCCATTTTCCCAGGATTAACAAAGACCCAATAAATGCACCTCTGATTTATACCCTTATTGCCCAGGCTATACATTTATTGGGGTTGCATATCTCTCATACTATACTGTCATGGAAAAAAAATGTGACTACACTTTTTTCTTTTTTGTTTATTATATTCTATGGGTAATTTACCTTTAATTGCAGAAAACAAATGGTATGCTACTTTTGTCATTACTGCAAATGATTAAACAATACTTAATCACACATACATGGGTTGTTATTTCAAAACCTAACCCAGCTTTTAACCTTTCCGGAACATTATCTCATTAGTAAATTGCTCTCTTTGGTATTCATGCAGCTGTTTATTTTCTTAATTAAGCTATATATTTGTATTGATATTGATTTAAAAGCAAATTTACTTTATTCTCATATTTAGCTATTATATGAGATATTACCTACTATTTAGTAATTGTTTAATTACTGAAAGCCAACGGTTTGGATTGTAATTAATTTAGCAATCACATTAAAGATGATATACCAATATACAAATACCAATGCACACTGCACTCTTATTTGGGTAAAAGTGAAATAAAAAAACATAACCTTTCATCTCACAGTAATGCATCACTTTATGTTTGTCTGTCATATAAAGCCTAATAAATGCACATGAATCTGTGGTAGAACAATATAAGTATAAAAACGTTTAAGAGGAATTGATACTTTTACAGAGTACTCAATGGATTATTCTCAAGACTTTTGTATATGAAGTTATTTTAATAATAATTGTCTTTTTTTTCTTATTGTATGTGTTATTACAAAATTACAAAAGAGCATAAATAACCTATCTGCCAGTCTGATTACATGATCTAAAGTATTGTTATTTAAGTAAGCTCTACAGAAAATATTTGTTCAGAGTTAAAGACAAAAAGTCTGCTATGAAAGTTGAGCTCAACCATCACTCAAAAAGACATAGGTGCATGTGCACATGTCCACCTGGATGTTCCAGTTAGAAAACTGGGTTTTGAGTGACAGGTGACATTTCATTATGGGGAAATCACACAAATACTGCAAAGATCCAAACAGACATGGCACACATAGCGTCAAAAGATCCAAAACAGAACCAGACAGCCCTCAGAACAGGGAAAATGTGCAGCAGCAAAGGGTAATGAAACTTCACTTCAAACCCTCAACTGTCAATCTGTGCACATCAGCTGCTGTTTACAATGATGCCATGACCTGGAAGCACAGTTTTGAGTGTTAAAAGGTTACATGCATTGCAGGTGATGCATAGAGAATAATATATAAACTTCAGAATAAGCCCATGCAATCCAATAACTGCAGCTGCAGATACACTATAAAACTGTTTAAAAAATGTTTTCCAAAGGTGTTTTATATCTTCTACAAGTGTTACAGGTGTGCAATAAAGTCTTAAGTTTGCAATGTTTAAGGTTTTTCTATGTATTTGTTATCACATTATTAATATATTTTCTCTAGATTAGTAAGCAAAAATCCAAACAGAAGGTTTTTTTTAAAAACGAGCACATATTTGTAGACGGAAAATAATGTTTATTCTATCTTATTTACCATGTCCACTGATGCAATCAAATGAAAGAGAAGCGCAAGGATTTAGGACGTTTTGATTGGCTCAATGTCCAGTCAGACAAACGTTAGGGAGGCGGGACTTGCGATTTTTATCCAATCACATCGCTCGCTCTCTCTGCGGCTTCCCCACATTGAGAAACATGGCGCTACGGGAGTTAGCATCGCTGGAGAAATATTTAGGCTTAAAAAAGCCGAACAAATATAGCACACAGGGAGATAAAAAGGTAATATCTGGGTCATTCGTTTTCTTATCCGTTCATGTTGGCGAGTTGACATTAATTTGAATGAGCGCTTGCAAACCGCTGTAAAAGCTACATGTTGCCTATAAAGAAATGCTAACAAGCTAACCATGTGAACTGAATTGAATATCGCTTTGGTTGTGTGTTTTCTCCCTGATAAAAATGGTTTGTATCTCTTTTCTTTTAATACCGAGTACTATTCTAAGGTTAGCATGTATAGACCGTTGTCTTTTTGTTCAACATTGAGGCACCATGAAAGCAGCAGCGTGCTCTGTATGTTAGGGGTGGAGTCAGCTGCACCACTGCTGAATGGATGGATTTTCACCACTGTAAAGTGGGTGTGCACTGCGGCCAGTAGTGTCAGGAACGTGTGATTATACGTTTAAAAATACAAGCATGAACTTTTATTTTTACAATTTATCCCCTCTTTCATCAAATGGATCTTTGATTCCTTCCACAAATCCAGTCACTTTCTTTTAATCTCTAGAAAACAGCAGAATCTATAACGCATTATTTTGTATTTATTAATCTAAAACGGCCTAAATAGGACTGGAAACATGCCCCAAATTATTATTTTTTTTTAATAATGTGGGTTATTTTGACATAAAACTTGTCTCCTTCCCTTTTCATTGATTCCCATTTAGGTGCCTGTGCTACAGAATAATAATGCTCCCCCACTGGTAGGACTGGTGACCATCGCTTGCCACCTGGTGAAAGAGGCCAAGCGCTCAGAGCTGCTGGGTTGTGGTGCAGAGGCGCGTGCAGTGGTCCAGCAGTGGCTCGAGTACAGGGTTACTAAACTCGACGGCCATGCAAAGGAAGACATCAAGACCATCCTAAAGGTAACGAGTGAAGATCAGTTTATGCTTCTGATGCATAGCCTCTGCAACCGTCAAATCTGTCTAAAAAAAAATCCTGACTACACGTCGGACGGTCAGAACTCACACAGCAGTGCGCAGACAAAAAGCAGCTTGGATTGGTCTTTGGTATGCCTTTCTGGCTGTCTGTGTGGTCGTCCTTCTTAATTCGGTGCCGGGGCGCGCCATTTTTAAAAACCGAGGAACAACTACAATGGACAACCGACACGTCCTCCTCTGTCTTTTTGCCAACTCTATTAACAGAACCTGTTCCTCTTTGATGTCTAGCAACTCTAGATCCATCTCTGTGACAGTGATATGTTTTGGAAGATAAACAATCCCGCTGTTGAAGTTCTCGTGACCATCCGTCCAAGTTCTTGCGAGTTCTCGAATAGGCTCTCCCTTGAACTTTGGGAGGAAACTGCTGTGCATCCCTAGAAATTCCAGACAGACGTTGCTAAAGCATACCAGCAAAACTGGTTCGCGACCAGGCCCGAGCGACATTTGATGTGTGCGGTTTCAGAAGTATAATCTGCCCTTGAGAATAAAGATAAACTTAAAATATTTCCACTCTGTACGATCTGGGTGTTTTTGTTCTCTAGATCAGGCATCCCCAACCTCGTTCCTCGAGGCCCCCTGTCCTGCAGGTTTTAGAGGTTTCCTTGTTCCAGCACAGCTAATTTTAATAGAAAGATGATTAACAGGCTTTTGGTCTACTGCAATCATTATAATCAGCTGTGCTAAAGCAGGGAAATCTCTAAAACCTGCAGGACAGCGGGCCTCGAGGACCGAGGTTGGGGATGCCTGCTCTAGATAATAATTATTTTAATTGTGAATTGATTTTTTCCCTTCCAGCATCTGTTAAAATTGCTGGCATCACATTTATCTAAAGCTAACAAATATTCAACCCTTCTGCCTTCCTTTCTATTGTGCAATATTTTTGCTCAATGCACCGTTATTTGTGTGTTTACCTTGTTAATGCTGAAGTCATAGGAGTGAGGGCTGATGTATGGACCTGCGGTGACACGACAGAGAAAGCGGCTTTAATGTGTCTGACGCCAGTCAGCATGAAACAGATCGTCGGCCACTCTTGCTCTGGACGCTAGGCGCCTCTTGGCATCGTCCTGTCAGTGTGACGTCTCTGTGTTTGTGCGTGTGCGCTCTTCACAGCGTGACACACTGTTGTGGCATGGCTGAGGAGTCATGCTGTGTTGCAGCATGTTATCTGGACAGGCCTTTAAATATTTTAATGGCACCACTTACAGGAGGAAGTCGCCCTGAGCAGCTCAGAGCTGGTGCCTGTTGACCCCCCCCCCTTCCCTGTCCTGCTGCTTCAGCTGCATCCTTAACTCTTTTCTTTCAAGCGCTTCAGTCGTCTCCCATTAAATTATTCAGAGACACAAAAGTGTCAGCAGCAGGATCTCTTAAACTTCCACTCCCGGGGATGTAAATAAGAAATTCATACTTTCAGAGAACCTTGGCTAGTTTTTCTAAGCTGATATGTAACATCTGTTAGACCTTTTTAAAAACTCTTGTTTTTGAAGATGGCTACACATGAGTTAATCTAGGAACTTTAACTTAAACTATTTAGGTTTAACTGGTGATTTACTGCTGCTGCAGACATAAAAAAAACTCCAGTTGTGTTGCTCCGTAGCCCAGGTGAGACTCTTGCAGCCCATGTACAGAGTAGCTTGATGCCGTTAACCAACTCCAGCCTCCATAAATGCCTTTTGAAGCTCCTCCCAAATTCTTGAATGAATTATACATAATATTTCTCGCAAGGTATCTTTAAGTTGTGCACTTTTTCCTGTAGTATTTTGTTTCCTTTGTTATGAATGTGCTTGTATACATCACTTGGTGAACAACCAGCTTCTTTTACAGTGTTGGCTTTTAGGTTAACCTCCTTGTGATGCTGCCAGTTACTGTTTCCAGGAAATCTGTTTAGTTAGCAGTCTATCCACAGGATTGTGTAACTACTGACCCAGATTGAGACCTTCTTGGCACCGGGAGTGTCTAATGCTCAGTGTTTCTTTTACAAGTTCCTTATTGTCTAAGGCACTGAATTGTATGATTTTCTTCTGACCTTACAATTCCTGATGGGGAGGTGGTCGTGAGAGGCTAATCGCCCTTCCTTACCCACTGTATACTACATGATGAAACTAAGCCCGAATCAAAAAAATTCTCGCACAACTGGAAAATCGACCCGGAAAAGAGCAAAGTATTCCCTCAATCTATACATGAGTTATAATTTCTGAAATGAATTACCAAAAAAAGCTGTGTTGATTATATAGCGCACTATTCCATGATCGGGTTTTTTTTTGTTTTACCTTTATAAAAACAATTTTGTCAGATATATTATATCGCGAAATATATTTACGCATAACTGCCTCCCGTTGTTGGTAAAGCCGTATGTTTGGAAAAGAAGTTTGAGACGGAGGAAAAGCTAGAGAATGTGGTTTAAAAAATAAATCTGCATAGTTCACTACTAAAGATCCAGAGCAAAGGGTGACAAACATTTTAGGAGAAGCGGTCTCGTCATTAGAGCTTTTTATGTCGCGTCACATTTATAACAAAACCTCAGAGCAAAATAAACATCTCGCAAGTATATTAAACTACTTTCTTGCATGAGTTCATCAACCATTGCGAAAAAAAATCCCACAGGAGCTGCAGCTTCGGAAGGAAGAAAGGTTCCTTTAAGGTTGTTTGTGATGTTATTTTTATGTACAAAATACTCAAAAAATTTAAAACTAACAATAGTTAATCATATGCAAACAACCCTTGTATTTATCAATACCATGCCAAATTATTGTATCAGGATACAGCATTTGACTATCGATACTTTTCGAAGTAATGATACTCCTGACAACCGTATATAGAAAACAATGTGTGGTCTCATGAAGAAAGGGGCATTATAAAAAGGTTTATTTCTCTGTCCAAATTAAAGATTGGATTTTAATAAAGTTGCAGATGTATAAGAGTATTCTACTTTAAATAATAAATAATATTTTTATGTTTTGAGGTCTGCATAAGGTACATGTTTGCATGAAAGTTGTGGCACCTGGAAAAACTTGCAGTAACCCCAAAGGTTCCTGTCAAAAACTATTATTTGAGAAGTATTTTGGCAACAGATGTTTCTCCCTCAGGAATACATTTATTGAAACTTGTGGATTAAATTGCATATTAGGTTTGCTGATAAGATTCAACTCTTGTTAAGTATAATACCACATATCTGAACCTAGAGAACTAAACCTATACAAAAACATTTTGTTTTATGAAATCCTGATTGTTTAGGATGAGGATTTTCTATACCTGTGCTGTAGAACTATGGTCTAAATGGGGCGGTTGATTCGCTAAAATTAAAGGCCAGGTAGAAGAGGACTCAGGTTGGAGCTCCATGTGTTGTGGGGGTGACTACTGTAGAAGATCCTCCCCTCCTCTGATGCACGACTGGGCTTTAGCTCCATGGCTGTAGGCAAAGAAAAGCAAGGATCTGATTTTGGAAGGGGAGTCTGCAGTCTTCATGCCTTGTTTGGCATCACCCACTCTTCCCGCACAATAACTCCATTTGCCCCCAAGATGCTTCTGTAAGTGTGTGTGGAAAGTCTTCCCTTTGTGCCACGTACAAGCGCTAAAGATGGCCCACTTCCCCTGGGACCCGCACTCCCATGCGCGACTTTGCACGAACAGGTGACGGTCGCCCAGTCCTGAAACAGCTTCATTAGAATTAGTCATTTTGTTACTATGGAGCAAAGAAAAAGTCTTTGGTTTGGGCATCTGTGTTAAGTCTCCAGCCATGATGAGAGATGACTTACCCCCTCAGGTTAAAAAATTATTTCTAATCATCACAGACACGCAGATGGGAGTAAGCTGCAGTCCTGTATACTTTATGTACCCACAGATATGTAGCTTAATGAACCTGCTGTTCGGCACCTTTTACATGTTTAAAGGAGTTCAATTTAATACAAAGTATGTTGACAGCTCTGCATGTCGTAAACAATATCAGATTACATGTAATGATTATTTGGAACAGAATTTTGGAAGAAGATGAAACTAAAAGTGGAATAAGGGCAGCTTCATTAGAGATTCATAGAATGTTTTCATCTGTCATGCGAAGACAAGTGTGTTTACACAGAAATATTTACCATAATGCATAAATTAACATATTTTGAGACTCATTTGCATATCTTATGTTGTATTTAAAAACCTTGCCTCTTTCAGGACCTCAACCTCTACCTGCAAGATAAAGTCTACCTGGCAGGGAACCAGTTTACCTTAGCCGATGTTCTCATGTACTACGGAATACACTCAATCATAGTAAGTTATTTCTTTCCTCCCACTTTTTCACATTTATAGCATTAAACGTACCCCTTAAACTTTTTTATGTTCTGATAATTTCCAACCACAAAGTGTCTGGGGTAATGGCTTTGCTGCAAGGTGAACTTCCATATTATTTTTGCTCCCAAGAGCTTTTTTTCCCCATGATATGTCTCCCTTTTTGGCAAAATCAGATTGCTTGTATTTGGTACCTGGCTGGATATAATATTTTAGGTGTTGGGCTTTAAAAGTCTTTATATCAGTAATAATTGTAGGCCGGATGGATGGACTCTTAACTGCTTTTATCGCCCAGAAAATGAGGCTGTTATTGCCTGAAATTAATAAACCTATAGAGTAGTAAAGCTGCTGTTAACCGATTACAGTGGAAAGTGTCTGAATAATTAGTAATCCATGTCGCTATGCCTATATTCAAACACAGCACCACAATAGTTGTCCTGATATTGTATGACCCTGATAACCATAGCATCATAGTGTCTTCACCATTAGGCTACTTGCTAATGATTTATTTATACGCATGGGTTTTGCAAAATTGCACCTAATTCTATTTAAAGCAATGGGAACTGAATTATAATTCAAAAATATTTTTTTTTCTTTTTGAAAAAAATATATTTCTCCTTCTACTTTACAGTTTCTATTTTCTTGGTCTAGTAGATAAAATTATTTCAAAATCGTTTTAAATTTGTGTGGTAATGTGACGGAATGTAAAGAAGTTGTAGATGTATAAATAAATACTCATGCAAGGGTACTTTGATTTGGTTCTTAGCTGTAATTGTCCAGCTGAATCTGTCCTTCTGCAGATGTGGGTGTATTTTAAATGCAACTATTTTCAATACCACAAAACTTCTATACTCTTTAGTTTTTTTTTCTAGATATATGTATATGATGAGATTTGAATAGTTTGTCCTAAGAAGTTCTTAGGGATATATACTGAGAATTAAGGAGTCTAAACCTTTTCGCTTCCATTTTAGTTTATATCATCCCTCATTTTTGTCAAACCATAACTCTAATTATCAATTTGTCATCGTATATAACATACAATTAAACCAGTCATTTGGCCAAAGGGCATCGAGGACAAGCTGGCAATGAACACACGGATTCTAAACACATTTTCAGTTCTCTTCAAACAGATAAAGCGATGTGGCATAAAGTGACGGCTTTAGCCTCAGACCAGAGACAAGTAAGTTTGTTCCGCCTCGCAGCAGGATAAAAGGAAAGGGAGTTTAGAAACGAGGAACGGCGGAATGAGACTCGGGGAGGGGATGGATCACATGTTGAGGGATGTCAGCGGTTGTGGCGGAGATGGAAGTTTGGCCCTCGCCACCAGGCAGATGAGCGTCACTTTGATTCGCTGTCAGTGGTTTTTAAAATTGGGGACAGCGGGTCAGCTGGATCAACCCCTGACCTCAGCTTGTGCCGATGTTCAATTCAGGACAAACAAGTTTCCACAAGGGTCCAGTCTGACTAGTGCTGAAAAGGTTGCAGGCTTGATAATAACGATAATGAAAAACAAACATGGGCCTGATAAGATTTGTGCAGCAATAAGGTATGATGTCAGTGGTTCTCTCAGGTGAAAGTTAGATGCTTGTGTAGAAACTGACACATTTTTATTTGATTCACTAAAAGCTGATCTTTATTAGTAACTTATCTTTATCCACTTTCCTTTCTTTCCCTACAATCCTTTAGTTGAAGTTTCAGGCATAACAGTAAAACTTCACATGAGAGGAAATTGGGTTAGTATGGATTACCAGTTAGAAGGTCCCAAATATTCATAAATAAATAATTATAAAAAAAAAAATAATAATTATAAATACTGTTTCAACTGAGTAAGACCAAAAGTTTTCTCCCATTATTTTTTTTTTTATCGATTCTGGAAAATCCCTCCCAAATTAGGTTAATCCAACCCATGAAGACGGGGGGGAAAATTTTTTCCATTTCATTTAATAAAAAAAATAAATAAATAAAAATCTAAGAGGAGAAATTTTAATGGTTTTGGTTTTTGTAGTTTAATGTCTTTGCAGTGAAAGGGATGGAAATAAATCTAAATGATCTTTTTCTAATGAATTAGTCTTATCGATATGGAATGCTACATTTTATTTTTTACTTTTTTTGTGTTTGTATTTGCTATTTAATTTTTTTAATAAACATTAGCAGAAATTGATTGATGCTGACGTATAAAAATATTTTACATGCAGCTTTGCTTAACGATTACATCACTGCTTTGGCCGTTTTAAATTAGAATCCAAGTGCCCCAAATATTGGAAACTTTTCTTTTCTTTTTCTTTTTTTTTCTTTCGTTGCAGCATATTTTGTTTATGAAACTTGCCTTTAATGTTGATTTTCAGACAGGAACTTGCTTACATAAATGGTAAAAAAAAAATGTAGGTTTATTCTAGTGCATTAGTAACCGTTTTTGAAAAGAAAAAGTAAGAAGCACATTTTAATCTGGCTCTCTTTCAGACTGTAAAACAAAAAAGTATTACATTTCCAAAGCAACGAAATATGTCAAAAATGAAATAATAATAATCAAAAGCATCTGCAGTTAATAAATATTTACTGGCCTTCCAGTGATGTCTCAAACTGTTTTTAGAAGGTTTTCCTATAAAAAGTAAATCCTTCCTCTTATTTTTTCCCAGCTGGACTTGGCTGTCCAGGAGAAGGAGCAGTACATGAATGTGACGCGGTGGTTCGACCACATCCAGCACCACCCTGGGGTCCGACACCACCTCCCTCCAGTAGCTGTGCTCAGGAACAGACTGTACACAAGCAGACACCACTGAGACCAGACATCGTCATCGTCCAGCCTTCCTCACTACAACGGACGCCACATCCCCTAAAATACAACATTTAACAAATTCAGGATCTTTCCACAGAGCCATATCAATATTTAAGTCATCTTTCTGTGTTGATAATATTTCTGAACTAATTTGTTGAGCTTAAAAAAAACACTAGCTCAAAAATGTTTAATAACCAATTGATAACTGTCTTACAAACACTTAAAAAAAATCCTTGTGTCATTACTGACAGAGTAGTGATGTCATTCAATCCCATCCATGTCATTTTGTTGCTGAGCAGCATTTTTTTGTTTTTAAAGGGAAACTGTTTGCCATGTAATGCAGAGCTGCTAGCGCTGCTGTTTCTAAATGTTGCTGCTTTGTTTTAATCTGAGCCTTGGATATGCTACTGCTGGTACTCTGGGTAAAAGGACTTAACTGGCAGCACATTATGTCCCAAGCTGTTGCTTGATGTGGCTTCAACCCATGCTGTTCTAACTCTGGTATTTTATCATTAAATTTCTTAGCATATTAGTGTTTTGTTCTTGTAGTTTCCTTGTGCATGCGTTTTGTATGTGTGTCTGTTTTCAATCTCCGCTCTCCGTTCCACTTCCTCACCACCAGTTGTGTGGGCAGTAGCGAGCAGTTAAACGTCAGCCCTAGAGTCGGAGATCAGAGTGAGCGTCCAATCAGTCCCACTACCACCACTGTTGATGCTGCGGGCCACTGAGAGAGCAGTGGGCTCACCAGCTGCCACACAGACACAGCCAGCCAAGGCCAGAACCCCAGCCCCCCTTGGGCGACAGTCAGCCACTGTGTGTCATTTCACCCTCACGCTCCCACAGGGGCTACTGGAGAGAGGAGGACGAAGAGAGGCGGTGAGCGAGCGAGCAGAGTGTGCGACGAAAAGGATGGAGGCCACACAACAAAAAGGCACCCAGAGGCCGAGGGATCTATTTCGTGACAAGTGAACAATGATCTTTGCCTCCTAAAGCCTGACTGCTGATGGCTGGATGCTGCTATTAGCACCATTAACAGGTTCGACCATGCTAGTGGTTGGAGAACTGGCTTACATTATGAAGGTAATGAGAGATAGAAAAGCAGAATATAGAAAAAAAGGTACTTCTACAGATTGGTCTTTGTGACCTTTTTAAGATTGAAAACTTTTATTTTTCTTTTTTTCATTCATTGTTTAGGATGTTTTTCTTTTTTCAGGCTCTGCATATGAAATGTATTGCTTTAAGCATGTTTTTTTTCTTTTTCTGATGTCAGCAGAATTTTCATCCTGTGCCAATAAATCAGAAATACATGGAGCCCCTGACCTTTGACTTCTCCACCCCTCTTCTCGGTGTGCACTTGTGGTTTTCTTTAAAAATATATATATTTTTAAAAACCAGCCAGAAGACAGAGCCCTTGTTCATTGAAGTTGTGTTGGAGGCCTTGCTGTGTGTTTGTTGCAAAGTAGATATGAAGGATAAAAACAGCTTGAAGTTGTTTGGGTGAGCCTTGTGACTTTTTGGGGCCGTTAGTGTCATGGTCCAAAGCATTAAAGAAAGCCTTGTCCTCCCGGTTATTTAAACATATTTTTTGGTTTTAATCTTTCCAGTGAGCACATTAGGCAGCACTGATTACTACCAGGGTGTCTATGATATTTTACCTACGACACTAAAATGATGGCAGTCAGTTTAAGGTTATTTTACATGTGATGCATAGCTACAAGCTCTGCAGGGTAAATGTAAACACAATGCTTAAATTCAACAGATATGAGCATCATAGATATGTAATTCTGACACCAAATATTGTGTAAAAAGTCTAAATTTCAAATAAAAATGCAAATAAATATAAAACAAAATATATATATTTTTTAAATGTTCACAATTTATTAGGAACACAATCGGTGCAGAAAAATGTCTTGACTTTTTATAAACAAAATTAACTGAAGCATCCCTATTGGCCCCAACTTTTCATGTTTGTTCTAAACTAGATTCTGTACAACCCCACAATTTAACCCTTTGACACCCATTGTTGCAAATATGCAACAATCCCTTTGTATTGCGTCCACAGCCCAGATAGCATTTCCTCAGTACCAGTTATTACACATCTAGTGTGAACCTAAGAACCATTGTAGTTTCTTTGAGGTAATAGATTCAACCTTAAACCTCTATTCAATAGTTGAAGTGTGAGGAGAATCAAGACTCCCCTGTTTTGTCTTTGGTTTGTTTTTACATAGGAAATAATCAAAATATCTGTCCTTAGTTTTTTTTTTTTTTTTTTATGCTGAAGTTTTTCTTCAGGTGTAGAATCTGTAGCAGGAGTTTCTACACATCCATACTTCAGTTGTGCTGGTGAGGTTTCCCAGTCACCCAGGTCATAGTCATTCCAAATAAGAATGTTTCCAAGTTTGAAGGCATTTCTTTTCCTAACCCTTTTTCAATTAAAGGTGCCAGAAATAGCATTGAGTTCTAGTCTTTATAGAGTGGACCAAAAACAAAGCCTTGTTTTGGCTTAGAAAACATGCAAATTGAAGCAGACCAATGGGCCCACAGCTTAGGAATGGGCAGTTTGGGTTCTTTGTTAGCTATATATTCTGCTCCACTGTATGGGGATGATAGCAGAAAGGAATAAACTCTATTGATAGAGTGAGTCCTTCGTTTTTGGTCCACTCTATAAAGCCTTGAACTCAACGCTATTTTTGACATTTTGAATTAAAAAAAGCTTCCTGGATGGAAAGCGAAATGTCCTCCAACTTGGAAACCAAGTCCAATGGTTTGTTTTTTTTACTTTTTTAGAATACATGAGATCTTTAAAATTACACTGAAAATTAGACATAAATTGACTGATACAAAATACCACATAATAGGAAGAATGCAATGCTTTCTTTCTCCTCTGCAAGCCACTTTCATTTCCTTGTTCTGCCTCCTCATCCGTATCAAGAATGTGATGCAAACTAATAAAAATTATAGAGGTGAATTTGGTTATTTTTTACAGCTATGTACTTAGATGTGCCAAATTAGTTCCAATTATTATTATGTTTTAAATTTTATTTATATTTTAAATATGAGAACAATCGAAGACAAGAGGGATCACGAAAGTGAGTATTTCAGTACTTTAACTTGACTAGATGTTTGACCATGTAACTTTTACTTGTAGTTAAGTAACATTTGACTGAAAGTATTAAGATTTAATACTTGTACTACTGTTGAGTACTTTGTCCACCCCTGACATTTATAAATGTTACAAATTGGAAATAGGCCTATACCTACATTTCTATTTTTGTATTAAAACAATTACAGATTTCAACTATTATTTTCAATAAATTACATATTTATATATGTATATAAACCTGGGCTTTAAGGGGTTAAGAGTTGCCTGTGTTATTAGAGAAAACATCTGTAAAATGTTTAAATCAAGCTGTTTTCAAACACTGAGAAATAATTACACAGAGGCTTTTAGGCATTTAATAAATCATTGAATAATAATTATGTGTTGCTTTTTATCTATTTAATAGCATCTCTACAAGAGGCATATTTTTTACAATGTGGATTATTTTTGTCAATTCTGATTTCAGTGTCTTAGAATCTAAGACCATAACCATCTATCCGACTTAAACAGTCAGCTTAAAACTTTCCACGTTTCTTTTTGGCTCTTCCTGTTCATCCTGTTGGCACAGTCCCAGAGCCTTTGTGGTACAATCGCACAGTCGGGTTCCTCGCTGATGAAACCTGACTGAAGTCAAAGCCAGACAAAGTCATGAGGCCACAGCAGGAAACCAGCACAGAAGCACGAATAAAAGGCGACCTTCGCACCAACATCTGAAGGCAAAAAGGGAAAAACGCTCTGCAGGGGCGGCTTCTCTGCAGAAGCTCTGGGTCAGCAACCACTATGGCAACTGGTTCTTAGTCAAGCCAACAGCAGAATAAAGGGCAGTTTAGCTTGTTGCATGGTGAGTGGTCATCAAAATACCTGATGTTTAACAATAGAGCTGTTGCAATAAATATTGTAAACAAGTTGAACTTGGGCTAAAGGTTTTTATTTATACTTGAAATAAAAATAAGAAAAAAAAATAAAAAAAAGAATCTTAGAGAAGCAGGATGTATTTTGCCAGAGTAAAAAAATAGTTGGCTGTTTGAGCTAAGAACAAAAAGTATTCAACTGCTGTTGCAAGACCTCTGTTAGGTTCAATCTGTATTATCCTGTGCAACAAAACTAGTCAGTATTTTACTTTTGTTCACTTCAACAATAACATGAGCAAAATATTAAAATAAATTAACCTTTCTGTGCATATAACTGCTTTTTTACATGCGTTTTTAAAATCTATTTTATATTATCTAAAGCAAATATGTAATTTTGATTTAAATACAATGTAGAATCTGTACTTTTTAAATTTTTCTTAAAACGGGAGTTCAATATTTTACCTTTTTGTCAGCTATCTTTATTTACATAAGTAAGCATGTGATTACTTTTTACACCTGTTTCTGATACGGTACATCTAAGGAAAAATCTAGGAATTTTTAATAGTAGAAGGAGATTGAACAATCTGTCATGATTTTTATTTTGGGTTGTTTAAGAAAGGCATAACACCCTTGGATGAGATTATCTATCATTGCTAGTTCATAATGGACTCCGGGTGCCTGTGCACCATTTATAATTTTTCTGCTCTGTTTTTCAGTGTTCTTCAGATAGGTGGCGCTGGTATTCTCAATTACTAATCTTAAAGGTATAGTGGAGGATGTTCTTTTTCCAGGTGGATCATCAAAATAAGTGGTCCTCCTAATTGTCAATCATTCTGGTGATATGTTTACATTAGGCCGTCCTACGTGCTCATTCCCATTTTCACTCACCGGTGGTGAGTCTGACATAGTGGAAAAATTGCAAATGAGCTTGTGCATGCTCTAGCATGATTTTAATAAGCGTTCCTCTCGGGAGCCGGTACAGGGTTGTGCATGTTCTTTTTTTCTTTTTTTTTTTAAGTGGAGGGGGCAGGTCTTTTTAAAAAAAATGCAAAAATCCCCCATTATAGCTTTAAGATAAACACAAAATGGCAAAAGAACCAAATATTCAGCTAAACCTTGCTGCTGATATAACCATAAAATTACATTTTTGGAGTCAAAAGACACAGAAGTCACCAAATGTAATGAATTGCAATTTGTAGTGATTTATATTACTCAAGGGCAAATTAAATGCAATTAGTGGGTGATTTTAAATAACTTCGGTTGTCATGATGTCATAGATTTAAATCAATACACTATTATCTTGCCAACAAAACTTTTCAAATGGAACTTCCTCCAGTTTCATCTCTCATCACTTCCAGCTGTATCATTTGCCAGCTCACAGGTAAAGGAATGAACCAAGTGCTAAACTTTCCTTCCTGAAGCTCACAGCTGTCATCAGTAGTAAAAACAAAATACCAAATAATCAGGAGAATGCAATGCTTTCTTTCTCCTCTGCAAACCACTTTCATTTCCGTGTTCTGCCTCTTCATCCTTATCAAGAATGTGATTTAAACTAATAAAAATGATTGAGGTGAATTTGATAATTTTTTATAGCCATGTACTTACAGTAGATTTGCCAAATTAGTTCCAATTATTATATTTTAAATTTTATTAATATTTTAAATATGAGAACAATCATAGACAAGAGGGTTCCAGAAGAAGTGAGGCTGCAACTTTGCACCCATGCTTGTCTCCTCTGCAGGCCTTGGGACAGTAGAGATTATTAGGGACCAAAAAATTAAGTTCATTTTGGTAGGTTTAAAGCGAAAATAGTTATAGTCAACCTAAAAGTAATGGTGGAGGTTTCCTTTGTCTAAACAAACAATATCGATATGTTCACAGCAGTCTCATCTGCACACAGCCACACAAGCATGGATATACAGCAGTCACCAAGATCTTATCTTTTGGGTAAATATTGAATATGTTGTGCATAGGTTAGTGTTATTAAATAGCAGTATCACATTCAAAATTAACCACACTCACAAACATGTTTGTGCATAATAAGGAAAACTGATCTAGGCTTGTATTGTAGATAAAGCAGGTTTTTACTTTTCTGTACTCATGTCCTTTACTGGACGACAAGAACACCAGCTAAGGCATCATGAAAACCATCTTTAGCTATGATTATCTGCCACCTTAAAACACACTATTGATGCTCCTAACATTAAGTAATTTCCCTCTGGGATTATTAAAGTATTTCTGATTCTGATTTAACTAAATGGAAAAGATTTCATCAACTTCAATTTATAAAAAAGAATTGGAATGTGCAATGTGCTGCTGACAGGGGGCTAAAGAAATATGGATTCTTCCTGGTGTCATTTAGCCTTCACCTCTTCATCAGCTCACAACACCTTTGTCTGAATAAG